ACTTTTGCTGCCACTCTCCATTTCATACAGCCTAATAAAACATGTAATCCATGGAAATCATTTAAAATGTAATAGGTCCTCTCGTGAGCTTTAGATACTAAGCCATCTGGTAGGACAGAAAGCAGCACTTTGAGCCTCAGTGCAAGGTCTTTAAAGGCTACGCACGTATTCTGCATGTGCACAAATCTGTGTGCAAAATATTTGTGATATCACATTCCTTCTCCATGCAGTTTGTGTGCTCTTTTGTCTGACTGTTAGCAGACCACTTTTTGCTTCCTCTCTTTAGTCAGCCACTTCAGGTGAGGAGGTTTGTGACTTTATCACCGTGGGGCTGTTAGAGTCGCTCTATAGGGACCCCAGAGTGCAGCAGCAGAGTGGATGCGACTCTCAACTAATTCGAGCACAGCTCCCGACAAATTATTTCCCCCCCATAACAGGATGTGTTTCCTGGCAGCCGAGTGGCACTGGAGGGCTGCTCTCGGGGACAGGCACAGCACCTGTGCAGTTTCAGTGTGTTTTGTTCTACATAAGTAATAGCTCTGTTTATGATTCAGGGGTACATCCATTCCCTGCATCCTCTGACCCTCACTCAGTGGGCTTTTGAAGACTCTTATGCATAGAGAATACACCACTGTACACAAGTGGTTATGTAATGGCCTTATTTAGCTTCACGCTAAAACCTCAAATGTCTCCTTTGTCTTTTACTTCTGTTGCATTTGGAATTGTAAGCACTGTATCTATAGACAGAGCCATCTATTTTAGTGTTTGCAAAGAGCCTCTCCAGCAGCCTAATATAAGCAAACTGCATCCGACTAGCCACAACCTGATTGAAGATGTGGACGTGCACGGCTGTACAGTAGATCCAACGTGACACAATAGAATTAACCATCAAATTCCTGTTAATGGATTGATGATGCCTTTCGTTCTGCTTCTTCATTATTCAAACAGATGAAATGACAGTATACTGTTATTATTGCTATCACTGTATGGAGCACTCCTGAAAATCCTATCTGTCTCAAATAGCAGCTAGTGTACCTAAGCTATATGTTTTCCCCATACTGACCCTGGTGCATTAGACAAAACAGTCCTGTCTCAGATATTTACAACTTTATTTGTTCTGTGTGTATTTACATCTCCCTCCTTCCTGCCCTCAATTTCTTTTCTCCTTGTCTTCATTGCTCAGCAGAGGCCCCAAACCCTGTAGAGTGCACATTTATTTTGAACCTGCAGGCTTTCAAGCATGCAGTTGGTAAATGAGCAAGTTAACCTGTGGCTGTTAGTCTCTGAGCTACCACATTTTCTTTTTCCATCACTACCTTCCTTTTTATGTTTCTTTAACCTTCTCTCCCTCTTTTCTCACACTGGCACATCCCTCCCTCACTTGCACCACTAAAGCTGTGAAAGCCTGTGGTTTCAAATGGCAACTTTGTTATAAAACCAACCGACCTGGCCAGACTCCGAACACCATTGTACATACTCAGTAAGGACTGTTTTATTCAAACCACCTAGACAGAAGGAAGTCAGCTTTTGTAAATCACATTTCATACAGAAGTGGACTCATTGTTCTTCAAGTAACAAGATAACAGAGTGGTCAAGAACAAGAACATGTCATGTATATTAGAGACACATTCGACAAATAAATGACTCACAGATCAGTGATGAATTTCCTGAAGTTTCAGATAAACACCACTCTCCTTACTCATTACTTGGAAAAGGAATGAGTTTAACTTTAAAAGACAGGCAGCATGTTGCAGATGTTGGGTGAACAGTGTCTCCACAGCAGAAGAAGACAAACAAGCACAGAAAACAGAGCCTGGGGCCAGTCCAAGTTAAGCATGTTCATTAATTTTTGTAGTTGTCCCCCCCCCCACTGGCCCTGCTTTCTTCCTGAACATGTCATGGATCTTAATAGGTTTTGGATCCCTCCTCACTCTTTTGATGCAGACAGAAATGCCCTTAGAGAGGGGGGGGGAACGAGAGAGAAAAACCGGGAGGGGGTGTGAGAAATATGAGAGATGACAGAAAGGAACAGATAAAGAAAATATGTCACAGGAAAAAAATGAGAGAGATTAAACAGGAGAAATAATGGCTGTACTGTTCGACTGAAAGAAGGCCCAGTCATTAGCTAACTGTGCAGTGTCTGCAATTATAAAACCAGTTCAATACTAATAAAGTACCATCGACATAAATTTTTATATATATTTGCCCAATGAGTAAGCCTCTGCAAATGCTGACACAGGCCTTTAGATGCTACAGTAATGGCTACATGTGTATTGTCTTAGTTGCATCCTGTGAGCAGCTTGTCACCCATATAGGCAGTTTGCTTTACCTTTAATGTGTTAACACTTAACCGATGGCACTGGACTAGCTTAGAGTTGTGTTACCCATGCAGAACTAGAGGCCAGAAAAAAAGGACCCCATTGGCAAGCTGCTTCCTGAGCTCCCACCGTTCCACCAGGCCCCCATGTGGAGCTCCATCTCTCTAAAGAGACTTCAAAGGCAGGCATTTGCAGACCCGATGTAGGCGTTAACCTTTGACTCAGAGGCTCTGTCTGTGCAAACAGGGGCGGCCTAATTGATGCTAGGCATCACAGGAAAAAGAATAACTTGTCTTTGTGGACTACAGCCATAAAATTGTGTTTTAATTTCTACCTCTTATGGAGACAGAGAGTCGTTTTGCATGTATTGTAGCAAAGTGGCAATATATACTGTATTATAACCTCTAGTGACCAACATTTAACTTCTAGTAATGCTTTTGTAATGGCTGTAAGAAGGGCTAATCTAAATTTTTCTAATTCAGTGTTCCTTTGATTAAATATACCTTTAAACTAAATGATCTGTGGACCATTTTCACGTATCATCATTGTACCTCCATATTATAATAAATCCGTTTTCCGGTAGCACAGTTCAAAAGAGACAAAAGCCAATGCTGAATTAACATATAGTTTTTAGAAGTTTAAATAAAAGTTAATCATAGGTGGGGGCACTAAAGAAGGTATGGATTTGTAGATAAGGAAGAATTCCTGGGTGCAATTTTCCACCAACCTCACAGCCTTGAGATGGTCAGATATTTGCGGCTGGAGTCAAGCACCCATCACTTCTTGTCTCCCCAGATAATTCTGAGTGCACACACGTTTCACTCTGGTTAATTTCCCACCTCATGTCCTGCCTCCCTCTCAGACAGACGGTGAAATAAATAATCCAGACTGAAAAAGGGATGCGGTGACTGAAGGAAGGTAGCAGAGGCCGTCTGGAAGATTGCATTTCGTGTATATTTACTGCTAACCACATTAAAGACAAAAAGCTTTCAAAGACAGAGTTGGTCAGTACATTGGTGGAAGGAAAGTTAGATGTTATGCAGTGTGGTAATAAGGTTTCCATATGCACATTGCTTTATGGTCTCAAGACTTTATAACTTATTATGAATTCTGTCCTGGTTTGATTCTACACAACAGTAGTGCTATATGAAATGTTGGCGCTGTACGGTAAGAAGGAACAAAGAGCTCTCACATGGCTTCCCACACTATTGTATCAACAGTGAATCAACAGTAGAACCAAGGTTTCCATTTAGATTATCAGTGATACTTTAAATGTGGTTACAGAGAGTCTCACTTAAATTTTTAGTTAGCTCATAAGGACGATACTGATTGTGTTTTCATCTTGTTTGAAGACTGACTTCATTATAGTGCCTTGCTGTGCCTCTTTTCCAGCTGACTACCATACAGACAGCTGATCCCAGCTAAGTCACGGCCAGGTGTTGTGGCAAACAGTTATGCAGCAGTAGAACACTGTATATGTGTGGAGCCTTTTTCATCCAGCCAGTTTTGTCCCCTTGTCCCCTACCAGATTCTGCCTGTGACTGTAGACATTGTGAGAAAGACCCTCTCCAGTGCCAGCATACTAGACTGAATCTAGAATCTGGGCTCGTGTTATCAAAGCCCGTGCTAGAGATTTGGCAAATGTCCTTGCAAACACCTTCAATATCTCTCTGGCCCCAGCAGTCATCTCCACATGCATCAAGTCAACCACCATCATCCGGCTACCTGAGAAGTCTCCCAGCACTCACTTCTATCATTTTAAAGTGCTTCAAAAGACTGGCCCTGCAGCCTCCCCATTGTACTTCACCCCCTTCCACTTTGCTTACCACTCCTACCACCCCACTGAGTATACAGCAACAGCTGCCCTCCACCTAGCCTTGTCCCACCTGGAGAGAAAGAACGTCTATGTCAGA